AATGAGGTTTCATACAAACTAAAAATGTTAAATTAAGACAAAAATATTTTTTCATGTCAAAATATTCTCTCTTTAATACTTATCTACATGGTTCCTGGTATTAAAATATATAAATTAATTTTAAGTACCTCTCCATCTTTCCTCATTTCCCGCCTGTTCCTCTCCCCCCCCATTCCCCTTCCTTCTTACTCTCCACGTCTCTTTTCCCATCCCTTTTCTTGTGCTCGCTCTTCCTCTACCGCCTGGTCATGCCACACTCACGGTTGAGTTTTTCAAACTGAGTCCAAAAGACACACTGGTGTGCTGAAAAACTCATTCCTTCTACTGGTTACAGGACACTGTTTCCGGGGAAGGAACATACCCTGTCTGTCCAGGACAGGAACCTGCTCTGTCCTCTCTGGTGAACACACCTCCCTGGTGTCTGTAGGACGCTACCTCCAGTAGACTGGGACCACTCCTCGGGCTTCTGACAGAAAGGGATGCCTTTCTGCACGTTGGTTCCGCACATACTTGTTTGACACAACCAATAGTTCACGTGTCCCCCTCTCCTTCTTCCTCCTGCTCCCTTGGTTCCTTGTTTCTGTCACCTTTCTCCCGGGCATCCTCACTGGCGTACCCAATTCCACCTCTCAGGGTGAGAGAATCCTCATCATCTTCTACCTATTTACTCAGTTTCTCATCCACTTTCTTATTGCTGCCTATTTAATCTGTCATCATGGGAACCCCTCAGTCTAAGTCTATGGCTCTCACTCCCTTGACTTGTCTTCTCAAATCCCTAAAGCAACCAGGACTTTCAAATATAATTACATCAAAGCGCCTAAAGGTTTTATGAACCACTTCCTGGCCACAATACAAAGTAGACAGTGATTCTGTCTGGCCAAACACAGAAACCCTATATTTCAATATTTTGAGAGATTTAAAAAGTTTATTTAAGTCTGAGGAGGGAAACAACACAGTTTTCCTTAAATGATCATACTAGAGATTGTGAACTTCAATTTGATAATACTTTAATGTACCAATTGCTTTTCTATACCCAGTGTTTACATTTCTTCAAAACCCAAAGCAAGTTTTTAGTAAACCATTCTCTTTAATTACATAAAATAACAAAGATTATTAATGGTTTTATGTTTTCTATAAGGTTTATCTGGAAACTTATAAAGCACAGTGTGTAAATGGATATTAACTTAATTACATTATCTTAGGTGTGTAATTTAGATTCCATGTTCTTTTATAAGATGCTGCTGCACATCACTCCTAAGTCAAAAACTGCCATCTTCATGACTTCAGCTGTGTCTCCTTACTAAAAATCATCACAATTGGGCCTGCTGACAGTCATGTTCCTTTATCAAAGGAGGGGTAAGCAGGGTCACTGGACCCTCACCTGAGTATTCAGCCATTCTTCTCAGCCACCTGTATGTATTTCTGCCCTAATTGCAAACGATAGCCTACATTTAAAAAGGGCTATAGTATATAATCTTGGGAAGGCAAAGGCTGCAAAGAGAGGGCTTGACCCGTGAGGTTATAAAAAAGTCAACATCCAGTGCAAATATCCTCAGGTCACTCCTACCCCTCAGTCTTCTCTGTAAGTAAGCTCAGTGAACTCATTGCTTCCCCAGGAAAACTTTAATGCAACCAAACATTTGTTTGATGCTAGAACCTTTGAAGGGGGTAAGCCTTGCTTAGTATCCCCGGGCCAAAGTCATAGCTTAGTCAACTGGTTTAAGGATGTCTAGTAAATTTTATCTAAAAATGGGTTTTGCCCAAGCTTAATCTGCATAAAACATGATAATTAAAAGTACCAGATTGGTATAACTAACCTTCTTGGATGTTTAACAGCCAGACTTTGGGGCCTATACTAATCTGGTCAGAGGGACTTAAAGGGACAGTTTTTGTTCCTTGCCCTCTAGGTCAACTAAGTTCCAGGGGACTATGGAGCATCTCTCAAAATGTCCCGTAACTATAATGAGTCATCTGTCCTCTTGTTCAGGGAGGCCATGGAGACCCCACAAGATGGACTTGAACCAGTGTCCAGTCTACTAAGAGGAGGGTCAATTCAGAGGAAACATTTCTTCCATGCTTCCAAGTGAAGCCAGCTACGGTCAAGCAGGACTTTTGACTTATCTTCACATAGATGGAACTGGAAAAAGGAGCCAGGGGCTCCTCCCAAGCCCATGTGACCCCTGAGAAACAGATCCTCAACAACCTTAAGAGTAAAAATGAATTGGTTTATTTGGTCTTAAATACCCAAAAGGAAAGTATAACCAAAAATTAAAGTGATCAGTATTTCTTTAAGAGTTCAAAGGATTGAACTTCCCAGACATTAGGCTTCAGTCTCTAACTGCCCCCAATCCTCCATCCACGATGTTACAATCGGAACAATACTGGTCTAGCCCCAGTGCTACTTTTCCTTTGCTGCTCCAAGATATATACCTGTATCTCCCCACCAGTCAAGAATACCTACACTCCAGCCATTCTCATACCTAGAGTAACCCTATAGGCCTCAGGAGAGGTGCATGATTCTCTCTCCACAGAAACAGAAAAGAGCAGAGCAAAAAGGTCAGCTACTCTAGCAGTGCTGGTGGGAATCAGCCTGGTATCATCTGTAGCCACCACAGGATTCACAGCAGGGAGCCTGGGACATACCTTGGTCTCAGCCCAACACCTCTCTCAGGAGATCCAGGACCTCAAGCAGGAACTTAACTACAGCAGTGGAAGCAACAGCCCAGTCAATCCAGATCTTACAACAGAAAGTGTCCTCCCTAGCCGAAGTTGCCCTCTAGAACAGGTGAGCCCTGGATCTATTAACTGCAAAAAAGGGAGTTTTCTTGGGCAAGGAATGCTGTTAATTATGTCAACCAATCAAGTAAGGTTGAACACAACATAAAATGCCTCCATGCCAAGGATTTCTTACTTAAAAACTTCTCAGTACCAGCAGTCACCCCAATGGGGTATCTTTTCAGGACAGACTCCCTGGCTTCTGCCCTTACTTGGGCCCCTGCTCTCTGTTACTCTGGTGCTAACCATTGCTCCTTGCCTCTTCAGATATTTTCAGGGCTGGATACAACAACTAACTCATACCAGCTTTAATCAACTGTTATTTTCTTTCCCCCCATGTGTATAAATGTCTGTCAACCACCGAGAACTTTGTCTAGATGCACGAGCTGGAGACCCCCGCTCCCTGACTGGACCCTGACTCCAGCCTTTCCTTCCCCACACTGACCTTGACCAGCAGGAAGTAGCCATGATGAGAAAACGCTGCACCCTATCCTATAACACAAAAGGCTGGAATGTTAGAGTCCAGGTCTGCAGATGACCCTCTCCCAGTGTAAAAAAGCCTCACAAGACAGGCCACAGGCCATGAGGGCCGCCTTACAAAACAGGAACCGGCCACACAGCCACATTTAGAGTTATCTCAGCACAAAGCTGTTCCCCAGATAATTTTAGAAGATGAACAGGCCCCTGCACCCAGACCCACTGATGTAAGAGCTGTCTCAGTTCAAGCTACTTCCCTTGGAACTGTAAAGATTATTTTGCCACCTTCCACATTCCCCAACCTCCCATAAGAACTTCCTCAGCAGTCACAAGCCACTGGTTGCTTTCTCTCCCCAGCTGAGCTGCCAGCCATCAGCAATCCTAAGAAATAAACTTTGCTTTGCTTGAGTCCTCCTGTGTCTCCTGAGGCTATTCCCTGCCTGGCTTTTATCTAACAGCATACACGTGTACACACACACACACACACACACACACACACACACACACGCGCGCACACGCATGCGCACACGCACACCCCCTCCCCCCCAAGAAAAGAAAAAGGAAAAGGAATAAATTTTAAGAGGTGGTCTATTTGTTCCAAATGAGCTCTGATGTCCCTGCCCACCCGTCCCACATACCTCCTTCATCCTTTCTAATTGAGACATCCTGACCTGATTCATGTTTGGATAATCACACAGGAAATGAACAGGGAAAAGGTAAAAACAGAAATAAGGCATCTGGGCCCAACCAGAAAACCATGTTAACGCAGTACTCTGCAAACAGCAGTAAGGAGGGTCCTTGATGCCTTGTATCACAGGACAAGACAGAAGTAAAAGCAAAAGGTGAGACTTGGACTGGTAGAGCCAGAAAACAAGTAGGCTGTACTTCCCAGGTGGCGTGGTGGATCCAGGCCTGGCCTGTTTGCCAGAGAACTGTACTAAAATTTTCTTTTGGTGCTTTTGGATGAGTTTGAAAGGTCTTGCTTCAGATTACTGACACATAATGCAGACTTACTAAACACAGGAGTGATGAGAAAATAACGAAGTGGGGCTGGGTGACGGTTCTGTGGGTAAGAGCACTTGCTCTGCAGGCATTAGTCCCTGAGTTAGGATCCCCAACACCGCATAAGGAGCCAAGCACGGCTGTGTGCGCCTGTGATCCTTGAAACTGCAGGGCCAAGAGAGGCAGATTCTCGGGTGCTTGATGATCGGGCAGCCAGTCAAAACAGCAAACTTACAACTGGCAAGACACCCTGTCTCTAGGCAATTAGGCACAATGTGATGAAGGAAGACACCCAATGTCCTGTGCTGGCCTCTATATGTGTGCACATGTGCTTATAAACCTGCATATTCAGCCGGGTATGGTGGCCCACACCTTTAATCCCAGCACTCAGGAGGCAGAGGCAGGCAGCTCTCTGTGAATTCCAGGCCAGCCTGGTCTACACAGCAAGTTCCAGGTCACTGGGGCTATAGAGAGACCTTGTCTCAAAAAGACTAAAAAAAACCTGTATATTCATTTAGCGCATATGCCAAACATACACACAGGAAGGGAGAGGGAGAGGAATGAGGAGCGGGGTTAGGCCAGTGGCTCAGTGGCAGAGCAATTAATTGTCTGGCTTGTGCAAGGGCTTAGCCCCCAGCACTGCGAAAGCAGCATAAGACCATGAAGAGCCAGGTGTCCGTGAAGCCCACGGTCGTCTACTCTAACATTCTCACTGATTCAGTGATGGGGATAACTCAACCCTCTACCTCAGAAGCTGGCAAGAGAAAATACTTCTTATCAACGCAGTCGTCTTCTTCTTCATCAGGAGGTGGCTTTGCTGGAGGTGGTGGACGTTCCCTCTGTAGAAGAAAAATAAAAATTCTATCATCTCTAGTTTTCAAATATCCAACTTTTTGGTTTACCCTTATTTTAACCCTTATGTGAAAAATTTCCCTGGGAGACTGAAGTTGAGGTCTAGTCCAAGCGATGGAGGAACTGCACCGCCCCCTCAAGACACAATTCAATTAGCTGTGCCATGGCTTCCAATATCTGCAACAAAGATTATACACAGCGTCCATTCCAGGCTGCAGTGAGAACAGCACTGAAAATCCACACTGCCTTGTTGGGACAAGGACTCCGTGTGACTGGCACGGAAAACTAAAACCGAAAATCAGTGGCTCAACTTTCAGTCTGCTCTAAAAAGGGGAAATTCTAGATCAAAAGAACCAACTTGAGAACTCATTCTAGAGCCAAGGTTACTGAGGAAATAACAAGAAAGCAATCAAGGACAAAACACTCGTCCTTACTCAAAGTCAATGCTGTGGCACCTGTCTACCTCATCTACCGAAATTTTACACCAATCTCTGTTAAGATGTTTCTCTGATCAGCATCAGACCTCCATAACCAACCACTCCTGGAGTCCCTGGAACCAGATGGATCCAGATAGCAACAACTGCAGAACAGGTTTGTGTGTGCAAGTCAATGCTGTTTGGATCAGATTTTCCTTAAGTCCAACTTTCTTCATTCTTCCTTGCTTGGGAAGTGGCAGAATGAGTCTGGTCTCAATACCGCCAAGTAGGAAAGGAAACAGCAAAGGCACAAGTCCACATCCTCTACCACAGGGAAGCCTTGGGACCCCAGTAGCTGAGGAAAAGAAAGTGAAGCACAACGGAAAGGCTCCACCCCAGAAGTCCTCCCAAGACCAAGGCCTTCTGCAGAGGACCCACTCATGGGATCACTGAAGGAAACTAAGTATCCATGAGTGCCTTGTTCTCTGAGGAAAAAACTTTGGAGAGGGGCAGGAGGCAGAGGCAATCGGTATACATCATCTGCTGTGTGTTTGAGCTGCATCTTGGCCACAGTTAATCAGGAAGGGCCAGGAAGACAGAATAAGAACGGCCACAACTCACAGGAGTGAAAATGGCAACACACACACCCCAAGGTGAACTGGTTTCTGCTAAGCACAGCCAGGGAGATGGGCCTGCACAAGGACTTATATAAACCCTGTAAACTGATCACAGGAACTAGACTACTCAGCTTACCCCAGGAACCCTGCAGGCTTCTCCCAAAGGCTCCAGCTCCCCCTACTGGGCGACACTGTTAGCATCACCTACAGCAAAGCCTGCCTCCACCTTGACATCTGTGGCCAGTAACATCTGTGCCCAGCCACGAGAACTCAGCTCTGCCCACTCTCTTGCTTTCTCAGTTCTCGCTGACTCACTCTTCTGGGGAGCGCGGACCATCAGGATCTCCAAGATCCACACTGCAATGCTACAATTGCACCAGGGTAGAGGAGGGCAGGGGCAGGAGCCCACCAAGAACAAGCACTCCAGGAACACCAGGCCTTACCAGGGCACGTTTGGAAAGACAAAGGATGACTCAGCAGCCAAAGGAGCATCAAAGTGGTCCTCTGCCAGACTCAGGCCCAAAGGGAAGGCAGACAGGAAGAAAACCTAAGCCCAAGAATCTGTCTCAAGGTGGTTGGCACTGGGATCCTGTCAGAGCATCTCCCAGGTCAGCTAATGAGCAGTGCCAAAACTTCCTATGATGACATCCACCAAGGCAGGAAGCAGCTCAGAGGACGGGCCACAGGCCTAGGCTGACATCCCCACTCGGGGAAGAGGAGCGGGAGTCAAGAGTGTTGAGGCCCATGGACAAGACCAGGAGGAAAGCAAGAGCTACACGGACCACATCAAGAGGGAGGAGCAAAGCTCTTGTGTCTCACCATCACGGCAGGCGCAGGAGTGTCCTCATGGGTAAAGCAGCACTAGTAAGAAAGTCAACCAACACTGACAATCAGTCAACCAACTACAATGTCTGACAATGCACATAAGGTGTGGGTAAGCCTTGCCACAGCCCTCCCCCGGCACAGAACTCGTCCCATCCACGACTGGCAACCCGAGTCCCTGGAAGGCAGCACAAGGTGAGCAGAACTGGGAGCAGACAGAAACTCACCACACTGGGTATCTCAGCTCTCCGGAAAGAAAACAACACACAGCAAAGATTCCAAGGTTGAAGAGCGCTACGGCTAAATTGGAATAAAGGCTCTAGGCCAGTGAAGCAATGGAAAGATGCAAACTAGTTACACTGAACTTGGAAAAACCAAACATCTACCGCAATGCGATCTGTACAGTTCACCACACTGAGAACTGGAGACAGGCAGAGCCTGCAAAGAGCAGAGCAGGTGGGGTCAGGCCCCTGAAATGCAAGCAGGCACCAGGCTCACACTTCTACCTGCCGGTGCCCCATGGCCACCACCTCAGCCCCGGGCCGGGCCACATACAGGCCTCACTCCACCCATCCGTGCTCCTGCGGCCTCAGCTTCTTTGTTCACAGAGTCTCGGTCAGATGATCGCCCACTGGCCATGCTGTCCAAGGAATGGCAGGATACAGCATTGTACAGCACCTCGTAGGGACCTTCCTCCTTAACACGTGTGTCAAAATTGACAATCAGTTCTGTCACTGCTCTCTCCATATCACCTGGAGAAGAGGACAGGAGCAAAAGTGTCAGTCAACAAGGGCAGCCTTGGGTTTCAACCACTCCAGTCACACCAAGCCTGCTGGACAATGTGAACCTGACAGACACACTATCCTAAAGTGGAAAAATGATCACTTTGATCCCAGGTTAGAAAGAAACAGAGTTTTAGCTGTTCTTTATACCAAGGTACATATTTTTCTCTAAGTCAATATAGAGGGTGCAGCTCAGTGGTACAAATCTTGCTTAGCATTCATACAACCCTGGGTCCAATTCCTACACTGTAAAAAAATGAACTACTTCAAATACAGAAAGGATTCCTCCCATGTCCCCAGAGAGCTCAATACCACATGAGTATAAACTTAACTCTAAAATACAGCAACATGTAACTGAAAACCAATGCTTTAAGTTAGTATTTTTTAAAAATTTTATGTGTATGCATGTATTGCCTGCTTGTAGGTCAGTGCACCCATGACATGCAATGCCCGAGGAAGACAGAAGAGTCTGTCAGATCCCCTGGAACTGGAGCAGCTGCCATGTGGGTGCTGGGATTCGAACCCAGGTCTTCTGCAAGAACAGTCAGTATTCTTAACTGATGCGCCATCTCTCTAGCACCAAGTTAATATTCTTTACATAGGGTCACATTATGCAGCCCTGGCTGGCCTGGAGCGTCCCTACAGACCAAGCTGATCTGGAGCTCACTACACAAACCAAGCTGGCCTGGAGCTCACTACACAGACCAAGCCGGTCTGGAGCTCACTATACAGACTAAGCTGGCCTGGAGCTCATGGAGATCCGTTTGCTTCTGCCTCCAGCATGCTGGGATTAAAGGCATACACCACCAGATCTGGCATCTTCAATTCTTTAATGAAAGCCTCCACATGCTCAAGCAAAGAGGAAAGCAGAGCTTTCTGACACAAGGCTATGCAGCCATTAACCCACCCCTCCATTCTGCCTAGCACCTGGTATCTAATTCTGCCTGCAAAGTTGCCAACTGTTAGAGATGGCATCTGTGCTGGATAGCTTTAGTGTCAACTTGACACACCTGGGTTCAGGGAGCCTCAATCGGGGAATTGCCTCTATTGGACTGGCCTGTGGTCATGTCTGAAGGGCATCTTCTTGATGAGTGATGTGGGAGGGCCCAGCCCACTGTGGGTGGTGCCACCCCTGGGCAGGTGGGCCTGTGTTGCATAAGAAAGCAGGCTGAGCAGGGGCCAAGGGAGCAAGCCTGTAAGCAGTGTTCCTCCATGGCCTGTGCTCCAGCTCCTTCCTCCAAGTTCCCGCCCTGAGTTCCTACCTTGGGGTCCCTGATGAACTGCGTGTGACCTGGGAGATGTAAGACAAATAACCCTTTCCTCCCCAAGTTGGTACGCAGGTGGGCCTGTGTTGCATAAGAAAGCAGGCTGAGCAGGGGCCAAGGGAGCAAGCCTGTAAGCAGTGTTCCTCCATGGCCTGTGCTCCAGCTCCTTCCTCCAAGTTCCCGCCCTGAGTTCCTACCTTGGGGTCCCTGATGAACTGCGTGTGACCTGGGAGATGTAAGACAAATAACCCTTTCCTCCCCAAGTTGGTACTTGGTAGAGTATTTTGGCACAGCAATGGAGAAACAAATCAGGACAGAAATTGGTACCAGGAGTGGGGTACTGCTGTGACAGACCTGACATTGGAGGATTGTGGAAGTGGTTGGAACTTTGGACTGGAAAACTAGTTGTAAAACCTTTGCTTTACTGGGACAAATGATGCTGGTTAGCTGGGGCTGAAAAATCAGCTATAAGTAACAAGAGACCAGCACCACTGTGGTGGAGTCTTCTGGGAGGTATTTCCTCAGGGTCAGCACACAGAGGGGACCCGCACCTCTATTTCAAGCTCAAAGTAGGACTTGGTAATGTGTAAGAGTCTCCTGCATGGTTCTGGTGTTGAACGCATGAAGGGGTCACAGAGAGCAGCTGAGGCTTGGCACTCCAAGAGGCCAGGAAAGGCCATAGATGAAAGTGCAGCTTCAGTTGCAGTGAATATACAAGGATTGAAGGGGTCATGGAGAGAATCTGAGGTTTTGCACCCCAAGAGGCAAGAAGAAGACATTGGTGAAGGTGTAGCCTCAGTTTCAGTGGAGAATGAAGCTTTTTGGAGATGCTAGGACTGTGGGATGACCACCAAGGACAGCAGTAAGTATGGAATGGAGTTGGCCTGGGTCTGTGAGATGAGCTGTGTGTGCTGTGCACAGCAGAGTCAGAAGTGGAGCTGTCAGAACCCCTTGGAGCCCAGAAGATTGTGAGTGAATCCCAGATGTCCAGGCTTGAGCTACTTTGCTGGACTTTGGTTTTGCTTAGGTGTGCCCGATTCTTCCCTTTGAAATAAGACAGTACTTGTTTTGGATTTTACAGAAGCCCACCCACAGTTGAGACTTTTAAAAGAGACTATGGACTTTTAGGTGTTGGATTTTTTTTTTTTAAGGACTGTCGGGCTTTTAAGGTTGTACTGTCTTCTTATGTTGTGATATTAATGTTAACATCATAGCTTGGGGACACGAATTGGAAAGCTTATGGTTTAATAGTGATGTGTTTGTGTGTCAAGTTGACAAGGGGTCAATTGTGCTGGATAGCTTTAGTGTCGATTTGACACACCGGGTTGAGGGAGCCTCAATCGGGGAATTGCCTCTATTGGACTGGCCTGTGGCCATGTCTGAAGGGCATCTTCTTGATGAGTGATGTGGGAGGGCCCAGCCCACTGTGGGTGGTTAGTGCCACACATGGGCAGGTGATCCTGAGGCCTAAGCACAGGCTGAGAAACAAGTCAGTAAACAGCGCTCCTCTGTGGTTGGTGCTCGGTGCTCGAGTTCCTGCCTCCAAGTTCCTGCCCTGAGTTCCTACCTTGGAGTCCCTGATGAACTGCGTGTGACCTGGGAGATGTAAGACAAATAAACCCTTTCCTCCCCAAGTTGGTACTGGTCAGAGTGTTTTGTCACAGCAATGAAGAAACAAACTAAGACAGCATCTCTGGGTGACTTTTATATACTCAAACTATCAATGTGAGCTCCTTGAAAGCTAAGAGCTTAAGGAATGATTAGCTCCACTGCCAGCAGATTATAAGGGCAAGGAAGAGTGCTCGGCCCTGCCTCCTCTCCCTTTCGTGTTTAGCTTTGCTGCATTTCTTTAGCAATCTTTACTATAGTCTACATTTAGGAATGTGTCAGTCAGGATTGATTTTGCCTTTGTCATTTATCACACCACATATTCAAAAGGCTTATCAGTAAATCTGAAAAAGCCCTACTGATGATGGACAGACTGACTGCCCAACTGGCCACCAGACCACATCCATACCAGTGATCTCTTGCCATAACCACCACGTGCACATCTACCAACCAGCAAACCCTCATTAAGTGTCTACTGTGAGTCAATCATACCCAAGGTACCACTGTGTGGCTTAGGACAGGTTTCACTGCCACCTAAATCAATTTTAAGATGATCCCACTGACTACAGATCCTTCCGGAAGTAGGGGACAAACAAGGTAGGACAGACAAAACCTGTGGCCGAAGCTATGTCCACTAAAATTCATGCAGCAGTTAAAAAACGTCAACTGAATTTACACTTGAGTCCTGACAGCCTCCCGTGACTAACACTGGAATTACAATTCTCTGCCCAAGACCGCCCAACTCTTCCCACTGAGCCTCTTTCTGGCTGCAGAGAACTGCCTCACCCTGAGACTTGGATGCAATGGAGTCTGCCCTGGAGAAGGGAGGTGGCCGGGTGTTAGCAGTCTGAGCTACTTCTTTTGCACTTCTTTTTCCAGTCATGTGACCTGCAAGGAAAGGTAAAAAGAGAAGACCCTGCACCAAACACAATGGCTGGGAGGCGAGTGTGTCCCAGATCTCCAGACAGGATGACAACCCACCTTCTATAAGTGCTGCAATCTGCTGGCTCTTCTGAGAAGGCAGTTCTCGGACAGTGTCCAGGGCCGTCAGTCCATGGTTATCTTTTATGTTGACATCAATTCCTACAGGGACACCACGTAGACCAGGACAGTGAGCATTCTGAAGCCAGTCTCAGTGAAGGTCAAATTCAAGAACACCCAAGGCTCCCAAGCAGCAGAGCAGGTATTTTTCATCCACAGCCATCAACAACCTAGCTTTGTAGGAATAAGTCACATGCCTCTGATCACACACACACACACACACACACACACACACACGCACGCACACACTCATGCACGCGCTGGGATCAGTATCAAATGCTGCCTCCGAGAGGCTGCAGAGAACATGCCACCCGGCGTGTGGGTAGACCAGTGCTGCCGACCTCACCTGCGGCCAGCAGGATTTGCACCACATCGGTCTTGCCAAACAAAGCAGCCTCATGCAAAGCACTGCCCATCTCCGTCTGGAAGGCAAACGAGAGCGCAGCAGGATGTCATGAGAACAGTTCAGCTGACAAATAGGACATGGATACCGAGGGACAGCAACCAAAGTAAAGAAGCCCTCTGGGCACTTGATCTTTCCAACACTCCTCATGGGGGTTCTAAAACCCCAACCAAGGGCCATGGAGCAAGGCTATCTGTGTGCTGTCGCAGGCCTCATTGGAGTCCCCGCTACTTGTGGGGACACTGACCAGTGACACCCTCCTGCGGCGAGGGAAGAGAAGATCACTTCTCCCGCCCCAAGTGGAGGGTCAAAGCCACACTTAAGGAGGCACTGACTCAAGGGGAGGCTACCAGCAAAGGGGAATGCCACCACACTGGCAGTCAAGGCTTTGAACGTGCACAAAGGTGGCTATGGGAACGCATGTACAGGAAGGTAATGAAGCCTCCTGCCTTTGAGAGATGGCCCACAAGCATGGCTTTTCAGGGTTTAACCACCATGTGTCACACTCTGAAAAGAAACGAGAAAATGAAAAATCCAGGTCCAGCCCAAAGGGTTCATCTGTCTCTAGAGTGTCGGACTGGAACAAACTGACAGATGGAAGCACCTCAAACGTGATGGGAGACAGCTAAGTACAAACACAGCCCAGCAGCATGGTCCTGTGCCTTTTCCAAAGCGACTAAGTCCCCTGACAGGGAGGGGCATGTGCCGTGCTACCTGATAGTTGCTGTCCATGCCGGCGTCCAGCAGGACCTGCACCACGGCCTTGTGGCCGTTCCTCGCCGCCAGATGCAGAGGGGTGTGCTTCTTGGTGTTGCAGCTCAGGAGGTTGGGGTGCGCATTCAGGAGCATCTTTACCACCTCCAGCCGCCCGTAGAGAGCCGCCAAATCCAGAGGCGTTTCAAATTTGTTGTTGCGCATGGTGGGGTCTGTGAGCTCCTCCAACAGTGCCTTCACGACCTCTGTGTGACCGTACTGCGCCGCGCAGTGCAGGGCCGTCTCATTGTCGTTGTTCTGAAGGGTTAAAGAAGCACATCACATCAGGGCGGCCTGGACGGGTTGACATCTGCCTGGTGTAATCACACATAAAACCACTGAAATTTAAACGAGAGGAATAGCAGCAACACTTGGGGGCTCGGAAGTCAGACTCCAGGCACTGTCCCCAACAACCAAGCCTGACTGCTCCCACCAGCCACATTTGCTCCTAGTCCCTGCAAGAGGGGAGCAGGCATCCCCTAAATATTTGCAGTCGCAAATAAGGGAGCGTGGCAGGCATTTGTAGACGTCCTGGCACATGTGAATGCTAACTGAATCACTGCGATTGTTCCATTGTAAACTTCCACTGGTTCTACAAGCATTTGTTCTTTGTTTAGCCCTGGGTTGTGATTCTGGATTTGCCCACCATCTGTTGCCTTCCACACAAGCTTGAATTAAGAGTTTGTCCTCTGCATAGTTTCTTACATGCAAATCCATCAGCCAGCAAGAAAGTTAACAGAGCACCCTAAACCCGCTCTCAAGGTAGCAGCCAGTCATGTCTGGAGAGGGAGGTGCCAGCTCAGGAAGGAGACAGTGCAGGCCCTACACACAGAAGGAGAGCGCTTAGCGACACACAACAGCTGCTCTGCACAGGACAGCAGACCATGTGGCAAAGTGCTTCTTATGTAAAGGCTGGAATGCTTGGTGTGAGAGGTGCAGAATATTCCAGGGCAGTGTCACCCTCATTCAGTTCACAGACTGCGGGCCTCTGATGCCAATTCTGTCTCAAGGACACAGAGTCTGGGGTAAAATGGGGGAAGTTTGTGCTTTTTCAACTACCAGAACTAAAGTGTCGGCCAGTTCAATTATGTTCCTTATTATGAGTGCTGATATATAATGAAAGCAAGAAATTTTCCACAATGTCTCCTTTCTGAGGAGCGAATGAAAAGAATTCTCTCACGGGATTTTGAGAGTCCTCCACTCATCCAGACAGCTGAAGGAGCCAGCACTCCCGATCAATATTGTGCACCTTTCAGTAGTCCAAAGTTAAGTATGAGGTATTTCTATAACTATTAGTGACACTACAACAGACGAAGAGCTGCCATGCATGCAGTTCCATCTGCTTTTGCTCTGGCATTTGACGGTATCGTTTTTTTCCAGCTATACGAAATTCACAAGAAGATCCAGAGCTGTTGGAAGCATGGCCTCGAGAGGCCACAGGCGGTAAATGGCAGCAGAGAAGGACATTTAAAGAAGAACAGAAAGAGGGCAGCAGGGCACATGCAGAGACTGACGAGCACAAACAAACACAGAGAACGGAGGGAGGAGTCCATGCTCCGCGGCACTGCTCAGGGAGAGCAGCTGGAGGACGGAGACTTTGATGGCCCCTGTACACAGCCTGTGAGCTTCCACCTCCTGTGACACCAGGCCGGAAGGAACAAGTTCACATTCAGCCTACAAGTTTAGAGGAAGGGCAAACGTGTTTGCCTGGGGCTCCCTGGGCCAAGCATACAAACGTCGAGAGCCCCTCTGGGCATGTCCATCTCCTACTAAGAGGTCCCTGAACAATCTCAGACTGGTCACTTCACCTTCTTGTGAAGAAAACACAGCTACGTCAACAGAACTCAAAGGAGCTTTTGGGAGAGAGATTCTGGGCTAGAGCGCAAACCCAAAGAAGTTTAAGAAGATCCCCTCAGTTTTCTACCTCAGCATTAGCATGTCAACCATAGTCAAGAAGTCAACTAATTCTCAGGGCTGGAGAGATGACTCAGCGGTTAAGAACACTGTTCTTACAGAAGACCTGGGTTTGAATCCCAGCACCCACATGACAGCTAACAACTGTCCGTAACTCCAGTTCCAGGGGATCCGACAGCCTCTTCTGACCTCCATGGGCATTGCACAACACGGGTGCACTTACCTACATGCAGGCAATACACGCATACACATAAAATAAGAATAATTTTAAAAATTAAAAAAAAAAGTTGACTAATTCTCATTAAAACTCCAGCCCAGAAAACTTGACTTTAAAGCAAATCATACCGTCTCTTTTAGTATCCAACTTGCCTCCCTATATCCAAAATAATGTTTTCTTGATTTTGTAAAAAGTATGACATTACAGCCTGAAAAAAATATAAAATTTTGGGGCTGGAGGGATGGCTCAGCAGTTAAGAACACTGACTGTTCTTGCAGAAGACCCAGGTTCGATTCCCAGCACCCACATGGCATCTAACAACTGTCTGTAACTCCAGTTCCAGGGGATCTGACAGCCTCTTCTGTCCTCTGTGGGCATTGCACAACACGGGTGCATTTACAAACATGTAGGCATAACACTCATACACATAAATTTATATATATAATTTTAAAGTCTGGGGCTGGAGACATGGATCAGCAGTTAAGAGCACTGGCTGTTCTTGCAGAAGACTTGGGTTCAAATCCCAGCACCTACATGGTGGCTAACAACCATCCATTCCTTCAGGGGATCCAATGCCTTCTTCTGTCTTCTGTAGGCATTGCATGACATGGGTGCATTTACACACAAGTAGATTTAACACTCAAAGACATAAAAAAATAAATAAATCAAAAGAAAAATTTAAAGTCTAAACTATCTAGAAAGGAAAGAGAAAGAGGGAGAGAGGGAGACAGACAGGAAGGAGGGGGGTGAGGACTCTTGAGTAAAATGCATGCTTAGCATACTAGGCCCTAGGTTCAGTCCCTAGAATATCCCCGACCTTAAAAAAAAAAAAAGAGAGAGAAGCAGAAAAATATAGGGAAGGTTTTCTGTTTGTTCTTTTGGTTTTTGCCTGTCTGTTGGCTTTTGCCAGAATGAAGGCAGTTGTTCCAAAGCTGCTCGTTAAAGACACAATCCTGATCAGTCCTCAGAAATTCCTACCTTGGTTCAACATGGTCTAACCACATCTCTGGAGAGAGTTAGGCTCTTGTCACAGTATAGAAGCATCCGAGTCTGTTTCAGTTTTGCAAGACACGACCTGGTAATTCCAGTTCATCGAGTTTGTCTGTGGTGAGCACTCGCTATCACCCAACAACTGTCAGGTTAAGAAGTTCTTTGACTCATGGACCTTCTGGAGAGGCAGGGATCCCAAGGAGAGGCATGGATCATCAGCCACGGCCTTCTTCCCTCTCGTGCCTTCTGAACGTTACAGCTGCCACACCTCAAGAATTCTCTTAGCATACAGACTAGGGGCAGGGGTCATTCATAAAAACGCCCCAATTTCCCTCAAAGCTTTCTACTCTGTGGACTTGCCACCAAAGCCTTTTATAAATGCTCCATTTTTCCCCATCTTGAGAGTTTTCCTTTTCAAGGTCAGTACGTCTACACATACTCCTTATCTCTGAAGATTATTTACTTGTGGACCATGTGTATGGTGCATAAATATGTATACTCATAAATGACAAACAACAGGATAGAAACAGTTCCATGGTCACTCATCTCTTGGGACTTGTCAGGATCCTCACCTCCCAGTGCCCACAATGCACAAAGGGCACACTTGCTCACTGTTGACAGAGGACTGTGTAAGGCACATGTAACTATTATTTAAAGTTCTGCTGGGTGGTAGGGCACACTGCAAATCCTAGCACTCAGGAGGCTGAGGCAAGAGGCTCATCAGTTCAAGGCCAGTCTTGTCTCAAAACGGGCTAGAAGGGCTACCCAGTGGCAGAGTGTTTGCCCAGCGCAAGCGGCACTCTCCTGGGTTTGATCATTAGTGCCCACGTGCCTAAAGAACAAAATTACCTGCAGGTGCATCATCATCAAGGGGACAAACTGATGCCATGGTTCTTGTGATATAACACACTAAGGGGGCATTAGTTCTGCGGCATTCCTGAACTAATTGTGCAAAACTACCAGATAGACCTAAACTTAGCAGCAGTTTCATAATGACTTGTCTGTGGTAAGAAAGACGGGAGGAGGGAGAAAAGGAGGGATGGAAGGAAGAAGTGGAGGAAAGGAAAGGAAGGGAAAGGGGAGGAGAAAAGGGGAAAGGGAGGGGAGAAGAAAGACTGGAGGACATTAGCAGGAGAAGTGGCAAAAGGTGAGCCTGGGCTCAATATTAGATAATAATCCTGTATCAAGCTTCAATTTTCTGAATTTAGTATTTATATCATTTTTTTTTAATGCGTATGTGTGTACTGCCTGCACGTAAGTGTACCCGTGTCATGCAATGCCTGCAGAGGAGAGAAGAGACTATCGGACCCCCTGGAACTGGAGTTACGTACAGTTGTTAGCTGCCATGTGGGTGCTAGGATTTGAACCCAGGTCTTCTGCAAGAACAGTCAGTGTTCTTAACCACTGAGCCATCTCTCTAGCCCCTCGTGGTTTATTTTATTTATTTAGAAACAACATCTTGCCATATAGCCCTGGTTGGCCTGGCACTTGCTACTAGACTCAAACTTGCAGTGACCCTCTCTGCCTTAGTACCCATCCCTGACTTTTATCAGTTTTATAAGTGAGTGTCTTTGTTCTCGCATTTTAGTTGAAGAACTAATACTTACTGAAATACTTAGCTTTAAAAAGTCGAGATGTCAACTACTTACTCTCAAATATCATCATCAGCTAATGAACACAGCTGCCTATGAAGACAGAAGAGGCAAAGGGGCAGAATATCCACACCTGGGGGACAGGAAGAGGGCACTGCAGCTCACAGCACATTCTTACAAACCCTTCTAAGCTGGAAACTTCTTCAAAGCACAAAGTTCTTCAGAAGCTGATGAGTGATCATGAAGCACTCAGTTAAGTCAAGTCCCTTCCAGCTCTGAACTGTGAATTATCTTTAAGGGGTCAGAAAAACAGGTCCACCCTAAAAAGAACTTGAATACTTGCTTTACAAGGGGGAGGGGAAATGAATGATTTCTGTAGTTCCACCATAGCTATGGGTGATTTTCACTTGGCTTGGTTTATGCTGACTGCTGAAAAGGGAAAGTGCTTAAGGGAAACATGAGCATTTAGAAAGCACATCTGTTCCCAGAAAGGCGGCTAAGACTTCGGATAGGATTTAGCATTCACATATAATTCAGTAAAGCAATGCCTAGACACAAGCCAGGCCAATCAGACCCTATTTAATCAGGACAAAACCTAGAGAAATAACATTAGTCAGCCCCAGAAGGCCTGTGTCCTTAGCACAACCCAGTCAGCTGGGCCTTCGGGGCCGTGTGCCTTCTTACTTACACTCATTTTCTTTTATGTATACAAAATCCAAAGATAGGAAAAGCACTTTCAAGAACCAAAGGCAGAGCGTTTAACCAAAGCTTTTAAAAGCCAATTAAATCAGAGTTGAAAACAGCAAACTTAAGGTCTCTCCCTACTAACCTGAAGTGTGAGGAGACCAACTGAGCAGCACTTCATCAAGCACCTGCTCGCACTGAGAACAGATCACAACAATGCCTCAAGAATACCACAGATATTTCAGGATAGCGCACATATTGCTAATTACCAGATGTTCTTCCTTTATGGATTTACTCTTACTAAAACCCCAGAACAATTCAGCAAGGCAGGTAATATTCCGTTTTGCAGCAGAGGAAACCAAGGCTCAGAGAAAATGCAGTTTACTCAGGTCAGCAAAAAGTGGCAGCCCAGAAACAGACTCAGGCTGGACGATGAAGCCACGCTGAGCGAGTGTCCACTCCAGGGCTCGAACCCCATCCTCACCCCCAAAGCTGCCGAAGCTGTATCTTCCTATGTGGTTTCAGGAATATAAAGAGTAGGCCAGCCAGAAGCAATTGGGTGTGCTCTGCAACCTCAAGTCAAACTGCTTCTCCACCATCAGACTTTACAGCTGATATCTCCTCCAAGGCCCATGAGGGCAATCTATGAGCTCTGTTTGCTGAATCTGTTTTGCTCAAAGCAAGGCATGAACTCTCTGTCTCAAGTGTGGAAATACTGCAAGTGGCATGTGTCTCCCATCTCCAGGACACCTGTGCTTATAGCAAGTGCAAAGCAGCAGACTCCAGATGCTGTCAAAAGGCAAACTTCAGGGGCTAGAGAAATGGCTCAGCGGTTAAGAGCACTGACTGCTCTTGCAGAGGACCTGGGTTTGATTCCCAGCACCCACATGGCGGCTACGAACCATCCATAACTCCAGTTCCAGGGGACTCTGAAGCCCTCTGCTGACCTCCGTGGCATTGCACAACACGGGTGCACTCACATACATGCAGGCAATACATTCATACACATAAAATAAAAATAAAAATAATAATTTTTTTTTTTTTAAAAGGAAAACTTTGGAGATGGAGAGACAGCTCAGAGTGCCTGCCACTTAAGCAAGAGGACCTGAACTGGGGTCTCTAATACCCATGTAAAAAGCCAGGCATGGCAGCGTGCACCTGTAAAGCCTAAAGCAAGGAGGCCGTGACAGGAGAGCCCAGGGGCTCACTGGCCAGCCAGTCTAGCCAAATCAGCAAGCTCCAGGTTCACTGAAACCCTGACTCAAAACTAAAATGGAGACTGATTGAGGACACCAACATTGATTGATCACCTATGTGTGTACCCACAGACATATGTGTACACACAAGTATGTACACATACATACACAATACCCAAACGTACACAAAGTAAGTAAATTTCATTGGAGTTAAACACTAAGGAATGTAAATCCAACACATGAGCCCACCCACGAACCCACGGGGCTCTTCTTCATGGTGAAGGCCCCAGGGCAGAGACCGTGGCTGGTACCACAGGCCTAGCAACCACTGTTGCTTCCAGCCACTAGCCAAGTACCCTGCCTGGCTGCCACACTAGGTCCTATTTCAGAGCTTCCACGGTCAACAGTGACAGAGCAGAAAGAGAAACTGACGGCTGGAGAGCATGAGGCACCGTGCAGAAAGGCACACAGCCCAGGGTGAGAGGACAGCACAAGCAAGCTTCAGAGAACGAAGAGGTCACCTGCATCCTTCCCTGCACCGCCACCAAGACTACCCAAAGGAAAGTCAGATTCTACTTAAAGAGAGCAGACTAAAATTTAATTCCAAGACATACAATTTAATCATTTTTCTGTGCTTACTGAAAAGTAAATTAATTTGTGTGAATGCATCTTTCTTGAGGAAAGGAACCCAATTTGGAAGTCACAGCGGCACACTAAGCACTGCGGTCCTGCTTCCTGTTGCTGTGGCTTACATGCTTGCAACCTTTCCAGAATCAAGCAGGTTTTAAAAACAAAACCTCAACTGACTGCACTCCCCATCTGAGGACAAGCCAAGAGCTGATGGGCTGAAGCAGGCGGCGGTCAGGGTGATGAGGAGGAGCCTGGGAGACAAGGGCGGAAGGAGAGGACCACAGGCACAGCGAGGAAGTGAACAATGCGGGGTCCTGGCAGTGATGTACACACCTTGGCATTGATATAAGGGTCAAAGGGGCCGTACTTTTTGAGTTCTTTGATCTCAAGAGCATTCTACAAAAAGGAGAGGAAAAGAAAATGTAACGATAAAATGGATGAAATACATCAAAACAATATGTAGCCTCATGGGCCCAATGCTATAACTACCTGGATCTGCCCTCAGGGTGCTCATGGGGTGTTACTGGGGAAGACAGCTTCAGGAACCTCACTTTTGGCCAGGCATCCACTGGGACCACATGAATGATTTTTTTTTTTTTTCCGGTCTTTTTTGAGACAGCCCCAGCTGGCTTGAAACTCACTATGTAGATCAGACTGGCCTTGATTACACAGAGATTGGTCTGCCTCTGCCTCCTGAGTGCTGGGATTAAAGGTGTGTACCACTATGCCCGGCTATGAATGGCTTTTAAATCAATGCAGCACTTGAAACTGCCTGGATCCATCAGGTTCTTCCAGCCCCTGCACACATCCCACCCAGCTCCTGCCCCACCCACCTGCCTTGAGTGCCTGCCAGACACTCAAGTACAGGGTGGGCGTCCACCTATCCTGGCACTCTCCTGGCAATCTCCAGGCAGCAGGTGGCCATGAGTGGGACAAGCTAGTGCACTTAAAGTGGCTAAAAATCCAAGCAGCTGTGTTCCAAGGAAAAAGTGGGCAGACAGGATTAGAAATGGTTGCTGGAAATTGCTCAAGGGAAGACTTCAATGGGTGGCCAGTTTTTCAACATTGAAGAATATTAGTTATAAGCAAGCTCTTTTATGCACGTCTTCCAAAGAGAAATTGTCATTTGAATCAGGAGAATTGAGCTTAGATTCTAAAGAGGCAAGTCTAGCCTCACTGGTGGTCTGAGCATCTGTTTACCTACCTGTAAGATCCAGCCCAAGAGGGGAAGGCAGGCTGACTGATAGCTACACTCCCTCAATCTCCAGATAGAGGCACTTGGAACTCTACCGTCTCCCTCTTCAGACAGGAGCCGTTCTTCAAGGCATGCTCTGGCAGCTCAGCAAGAACATCCATGGGCTTGCTGACAGGTGGACTTGCCAGATCACTTCCTAAGTTTTGAAGAAAAACCTCGATCCAATCCTACTGGGCAATGTAACGAACACTTCTCCACAAAGTCACCAGGAAGACAGCCCTGTGCTGCCTGAGAAAGAGCAGCATATGCTGTAGCTCAGCACTGAGCCGCCCACAGGAGAATGGCTGGCAGAGGCCACCTCCTTCCCAGCGACATGCAGCCTGTGGCCCAAACCACAGGAGCAGGAGTGATGAAAGGCTCTGTGTTCCTCGTGTGTAGTTTTCTAAATAGAGAAGAGGTGCATCCTGAGAGCACTTCAATCTAGAGGCCCTGTAAAGTTGTTTCGTCTAAGACAGAGTCTCACTTTGTTGCCCAGGCTAACCTCAAACTTCTGATCCTCCTGCCCTAGCCTCCTGAGTGCTGGGATTACAGGCTGTGCACCACCACAGATGGCTCAGGTGGGTTTTTTTTTTTTTTCTTTACTTCTTCCTTTTCTGTTTTTTGAGACAGGGTCTCAGGCTGTCTAGGCTGGCATCTAACTTACTATGTACCCAAGGATAACCTTCAATTCCTGGTCCTCCTGCCTCCATTTCCCAAGTGCTGAGATTATAGGCATGTGTCTAAACCCAGCTAGGTATTTTTCTTTGAATGTGGACTTCCTGCTTCTCGTAGTTACATCTGCTTTGCAAAGTGCACACTTACAGTAACCTGAGGGTAGCATGAAGTATGGCGATGATCTTCACTTAGGCGGCTCACCTCTGACCTACATTTGAGTTGTGAGTCCAGTTTTCAGCACTAGCACACACTTCCACTTCTGCATGTTCTGATGTCTGAACAACAGGGCTCTGACAAACATCAGAACGCTGAGCACCTCGATGGCATAAGCACAATTTATAATTAATTAAGCCTTCACGGTCGGAAACTAACATACAATTTTGAAACATAAATTTTCTATTTTTGCATACACTGGGCATGTGTCACAGTTCTAGGCCAAATCTGCATGAGCCAAATGCATGTAAAATATGTCCAAAGAGAGCTTCTGCTACTCCTGCTGAAGAGGAGCTCAAGTCTAGGGTACGGAACACAACACCCTCAGGTGCCCTGGGACTGCTAAGCCAGTCTGGCTACAGCTGAGGAAGGAGGAGGCCCCCTGACCTGCTCATTGACTCTGGTGTGCGAGGGCCCTTGGTGAATGAGCAACCGCACTATCTGGGCGTCTCCTTTCCAGGCTGCCAGGTGCAGCGGGTAGCAGCCTTTTGAGTCCGCAACGTTGGTCAGTGCATCGTTTCTCAGAAGAACCTCGACCACATCCCTAGAAAGCAAAAATCAATCATGAGCTTGCAGAAACCAGGTCTTTTCCGCCACCAGCTCTTCCAAAGTCCTCACGGACGTGTGCTCTTGCTGGTTATCCTGTGTCTTCCCGAGCTCACTCCGGGAAGAGCTGTTGGTATAGCTACTCCGTGCCTGGGCCACTGTGAACTACTGACTCATCACCTTCCTGCAGGGCTTTCTTGACAATCCATTTATTTTCTGCTACTTTGAAACCATCTGGACTCCTTGTCTAAACCATGTAACATTTCCTAGTTTGGGATTTTTAAGCAGCATTCAGGGATAGAATCTACATAACGCAGTCTTGCAAGACAAGCAGCACCCACCCTCCACCACACTATGCTGATGCTCTGGGGATACAGGGCTCAATGTGGACAGAGCAGAATTAACCTTGCAAACAAGCCAGCTGCACATGGCACTGTCGATAGCTCCAGAAGGAGGGACCCAGTTTTCTCCCCAATGACACCAATAATTAAACAGATATAGGTGCAAAATTATCCCCAGGCGTTGCCTACAAGGTAAACACAAACCCTCCATGTGAATACAAACAGGCCCTGGAGAGGAACTTGGCTAACAAGCCGTCACCTTTGGGTTCAGGATTCACATTAACTCAGGTTCTTCCAAATACAGAAGGGGAGGGAACCTCATGTTTCCTTTTTTAAGCTTTCTTTGTGTGTGCACACAGGTACCACAGTGCATGTGTAGAGGGCAGAGGGCAGCATGTGTACCATGTGGGCCCTGGGAATCAAACTCGTGTCACCTTGTTTGTCTGTGACCCTCTGGTCTCTTCCCCATCTTGGCAAACCCACTCTACACACCCATAATGTTGCCTGATGGAGCAGTTCTGCATCCACCTTGCATCTCAGCTCCCCACGAACCCTACCCTTTCCAGAAAATTTTTCACACGTATTTTTCACCCGAGTCCTAATCACCTCCTTACACTTAACATAGATAAAACAGGCCATATACACCCTTTCTCTATTAGAAGTGGTTCTTGTTTCCAGGGCTGATCTTATAAGGAAGAACGGCAGCAGGCAACACAACAGAAAGAAAACCCACCCTGACAGAAGACAAGTCTCTCATGATCCTTCATCGACGGTACTGACTGGGTCAGTCACCTTGGGATTCCAGTCTCTTTATGATCTGGCTGCCCCAAATCTGATCTTCACATTTACCATCATTGTGTGATGCTAGAACATTCCAGAGGGGAAAGGACAAGCAGGAGAAAAGGCAAAACTCAACCTCTGTCCAAAGGTGTTTCTGGGATGAGGCAGGGTGGGAAAGGATGCTTAAAGTATTTACTGAACAGAAACTTGGGCATCTGCGTGGACTGCACCAAGTCTGCTTTTCTCTGCTCCTCACTGCTTAGCCAACCTCATGAGGCAGAGAGACATCGCAAACCTGGGTTCCACAGGGCAGGCAGGGGGAGCCACTGGTACTTACCTATGGCCATTCAAAGCAGCATGGTGCAGTGGAGTGTAACCGGTGCTGTCAACACAGTTCACATTTGGCCCTCTCCACATGCTGGTGGGGACAAAGAAAGATTTCACAAGCTGAAGTCACACAGCAAAGTCAGAGATTGCTAGCTATTTGTGTGTAGGTAACCGCACTGCAGGTTTCCAAAGGACGCCTCATGAGGACAGCAGGTGTGTGCACAGACATGCACAGCACCTAGAGAACACAGGTGCACTGAGCAAGGAGCCCAGGGTAAAGGTCAGTATCGCCCTGAGAGTTCTCTATTCTTTGGCTTACCTGGGATGAATCACTGGCTGAGTCTGGGACTCAGGCCTCTGAGTGCTCCCAACTGACTAAGAAGTTACCCAAACAGCACCAAACCAAACCGCCCACCCAGGCACAGGTGCTGAGCATGGCCCCATGCTGGTGAATGAAGCCAGGAGTGACTTCAGCACATCTCAATCACACTCAACACATGGAGTCAGCATGGGCCAGTATCAAAAACACAAAAGAACATGTGAGCTGAGACACAAGCCACACTGTGTCCTTCCTTTACAATGATAGTGGACGAGGGTAACGGTGGATTCCGCCTTCACAGGTTCAATGACTGGGGGGTGGAATATGAGTTCCGAAATGTGCCTGTATTGAACACATACAAACTTTTTCCTTATTGTTATTACCCAATTCCCAATAATACAGTGTAAAAGCTGTTCGCATAGCATTCATGTTGTATTGGGTATCACAAGCAATCTAGAACTGGTTAAAAGCACACAGGAGGATGTGTGGATAACAAAGCGCTACACTATACATAAGGAGCCTCAGTATCTTCCGATCTGGTACCCTCAGGAATTCTGCAGCCAAGCTCCTACAGACACTTAAAATGACTGTGTGTCTCATTTGTGGCTATTTGCGTATACACTGACAGAATCTATAATTTGAGGGTCTTATTTCCATCATAACAGAGAAGTAAAAACACTACTTTATTCAGGCTTCAAAGCCCTAATACCTACTGGAGTCACATAATGCTGCGGTGGCCAGAGCAGCTGTGTCTGTCCCTGCTTCTAACAGTGCTTCTAACAGCTGGAATGTGTAAGCATTCCCCTTCTTTTAACACTTATTCTTTGTAGTTCTGGGGATCAAGTCACCTCACTCAAGCTAGGGGATTATTTTGTCACCAAACTTCAGCCCTACCCTTTCCCGTTTAAAGAGTTATCAGAGATGGCTGTTTAATTAAAATGCACTTTCCACATCTATGGGACAATCACGGTATCTATGGTTAATGACTGAACATGCTATAGATCTCCTGTGCTACGCTGTCCTTTCATTCTTGGAACAAGCTTATCAGCCACCTCCCACACAGCCTTATGGGTGAAATCAGTACACAGTCCCTACTTCAGAACATAACACTCTGGATTTTCACTTGTTTATTCCTAAGTGAGGCTGGCCCAAATGTTGTTGTTTACTTGTTTCTGTATTTGGGAGTCCCTGGCAGAACATCAAGACTCAGCAGTCAAACCATGGGGCCCAGAGAATTCTAGCTTGGGTACTCGAAGCAGCGTGGCTGCAGCAAGAACACCATAGAACAGGCTTCATCAACGGGATTATTACAACGCAGCACAGACAAAGTGGTCCAGCACACACCAGCTACCTCACTCTATAACCTGTTCAAAATAATTGAAATCATAAACACAGCACAAGCTTTGCTCAGGAAGAAGCTACGACAGGAATGGTCAGGACAGCGGATTAGGCGCACAAGTTAATTTCATCCCCGCTGAGACCTTAAAAAACTTTAAATGAATTGGGTGTGGTGGTGCACGCCTTTAATCCCAGCACTAGGGAGGCAGAGGCAGGCAGAGCTCTGAGTTAAGGCCAGCCTGGTCTACATAGCAAGATCAGGCCAGCTGGGGCTACATGGAGACCCTGTCTCAACAAGACCAAAAAAAAAAAAAAAAACCCAACCTATAAATGACATTAATTCTGGGGAAAGAGGCAAATGTACTATAGTACTATAGTACAATTTGTGGGAGTTGGCTCTCTCCTTCCTCCATGTGGGTCCTGGGGGTGGAACTCAAGATTGTCAAGCTAGGCAGCAAGTGCTTTGACTGACTGAGTTATCTCAATGCCTCCATATCCTAAAGTTTAATAAAGTAACAGAAAAGATATCTCACACCACACAGATTGACTCAGCCCCAGAAAACAGTTAAAGATCTCACCACCAAACTGTCAATATTGAGATTTTCTTCCTTTCCTTTAAAGAGAAGCAGTTCAGCAGGTTTTTACTATGTAGCCCAGGTTAACCTCAAAGCTCACAATCCTTCTGCTTCCCAAGTGCTGGGATCACATTTGGCCTTCTGAGTTCTTCTATGCTGCAGGTGTGCATGCACCTGTATATGGAGGCCAGCGATCAACCCTAGCTGTCTTTCCTTGGAGTAGTTCACCTTGACTGCTGGAACAGGATCCCTTACTGGATCTGGGGCTTGTCAATTAAACGAGACTGGCTGGCCAGCATCCCCAGGGACCCATCATCTTGGCCTCCCTACCCACTGGGAATACAAGTGCACACCACAATACCCAGCTATGTGGTGGGTTCTGAGGATCAAACTTCAGTCCTCATGACTGCATGGCAAACACTTTACTAACCTGGGCTACCTCCCCCTAGCTCCTTTATGGAAAAAAAAAATTTTTTTTTTTTTGGTCTTTTTGAGACAGGGTCTCCCTGTAGATCAAGATGCCCTCGATCTGCCTGCCTCTGCCTCCAGAGCTCTGGAATTAAAGGCATGTGCTACCATGCCTGGCCTAAGATATTTTATTTATTTATTTATTTATTTATTTATTTATTTATTTATTTATTTATTTATATTATACATGTATGAGAATTTTGCCTGTATGCATATAAGTGCACCATGTGTGTGCAATGCCCACAGAAGTCAGGAAAGGGCATCAGATCGCCTGGACAGGAGTTATAGACAGTTGTTAGCTGCCATGTAGGTGTTAGGAACCAAACCTGGGTCCTCTAGAAGAAGAGCCAGTGCCCTTAACCACTAAGCCATCTCTCCAGCACCCTTATAAGATATTCTTAAAAGGTAGAAGGTATGGTGGTCTACGCCTGTAGTTCCAGCACTTGGAAGGCAGAGGCAGGTGGATCTCTGTGAGTTCAAGGCCAGCCTGGTCTACATAATGAGTTCCAGGACAGCTGGGGCTACAGGGAGACCCTGTCTCAAAAAGAACAAAAAAAAAAAAAAGTAGAAGGTAAATAATACAAATTATACCTATTATATAAACTACTCACCTATCAAATCAACAAAAATGAAAAAATGGTATTATCAAGCGCTTATGAGAGCAACCGCTCTTAAACATCACTGGTGTAAGTTTAAGCTGGTAAATTCCTTTGGGAAGATAACTCGGCAGCATCCATCAAAACCAAAATAGCATTTACTTGGAGCCAGCAATTCCATTTCCAGGCAACTATCCAACAGAAACATTTGTACATGTGCACAAAGACGTGCTTGCATAGGACTGCTTCTCTAGGAGAGTAAAGATCTCAAAGCTTAAGTGTATCAGTAAGCAAGTGGTTAGATACTGGTATAGCCACATACTGAAACACTACACAGTCATTAACAGTAAGGAAAAGCTAAACCTTATGTCTTGACACGGACACAGTGTGTTACTTTGGCAAGTGAAAAACAAAAATCACTGTGTAAGACGCAAGATGCATGCACCCCTTTTTATAAGCATGCACGGACACAAACAGCCTGTAAACGGACAGTGGTAGAAGAGTGCTCATCAAGAACTGTCACCAGAAGTTACCTGGGCACTGGGGGCACTGCAGAATGGTGGACGGAGACTTCCGGGTTTTCTCCGAGGTCTCCCACACTGCTCAGACCATGCAAGTGAGACTGTGTCCATGTAGTACTTTTAATATAGCAATTTTTTAAGGGGAGGGGGTAAAGAACCTATATATAAGGAAAACAGGAAATGCATCAAGGTGTTAATAATAAACAGCTGAATACAGGTGTCAGGTTATTTTAGTAAGCATGCAGATGTTGGATTTTAAATCTTAAGGGAAACTTTAAGCAAAAGATTTTGAACAGCAAAGATGACCAACATCAGAGAAAGAACCCAAGCAATGGGGAAAACACCCGTAAGCCACATCTGGGAAGAGGTTGACATCTAAAATACACATGAACTCAACTGCAAGAAAACAACCCAATTTAAAGATAGGCAAAGGACATAAAGGCATATTTCTTTAGTGAGTCAGAGTGTTATGCAATCCACAATGGCCATGAACTTACTATGTAGCCAAGGGTGCCCCTGAACTCCTGATTACCCTGTTTCTACCTCCCAAATGCTAGGATTACAGGCATGCACCACCATGCCTGGCTCTGTAAGGATACATACATATTTTAAATTGTATGTGTATGAGTGTTATGCCTGCATGTGTGTCAGTGCTCCCGTGTCATGCAGTGCCTGCAGAGGCCAGAAGGGGGTGTCAGACCCCCTGGAACTGGAGTTACAGATGGTTGGTTGTTAGCCACCATGTGGGCACTGGGATTTGAACCCGGGTCCTCTATAAGAACAGCCAGTGCTCTTAACCACTGAGCCATCTTTCCAGCCCTGTAAGGATATTTTATAAAAGACAGGCAGATGGTCAACAGGTAAATGAAAAAATGTTCAACATCTTTAGTCATTAAGGAAATGCACATCAAAATCATAATGTGGCATGTTGTGTCTGTCAGGATGGCCATTATAAGAAAGATGATGTGTTGAAAATATGGAAAAAGGACCAATCTCTACAGTCATTGTGGAAAACAATGTGGAGGTTCTTCCCAAAATAAATAACAATAAGAACTACTAATGAGCCAGCAATCCCACTACTAGGTAACATCTAGCAACAGCAGTGAGTGGAGTATGAGACAAGTACATTCATGTGCTCAGTGCTCAGTACAGCATTATTCACAGTGCCAAGACACAGAATAAACGTGCATGGCAGTTAACAGATCAGTGAAAAGAGACTGTGGAATGCTAGTCGGTCTTTAAAAAGAAGGAAATCCTGTCATTTGTGACAATAT